GAGCTCAGAACATGTCTTCCATTCTTACTTGTGCAAATTGAAAAAGATAATAATAATAAAATTCCGTACTTCCTATGGCCCATGTGTTTTTTCCAAATGTAACTGCTCCATAAGATCCAAAAGTCTGAGAAGCAACCGCTGCTCTATGCTATTATATTGAAGAGATGTGAAATACATTAAAAAGTGAGAGTTGAGGTCATATCAGAGGGAAGCCCTAAGCATATCAGAACAGGAGGGAACGGACATGACCCTGCCCAAGCTGAAGTCCCCCTAAGAAGGATAGTCATCAGCCCTTTGGGATCCTGAAGACTCAGCTGAATTAAAATATACTACGGAGTGGGCAGGGGAATGCAAGTTCCATGACCAAAAAAAAAAAAAAAAAACAAAAACAAAAACAAAACACCTCAAAATTAGCTGAGTGTTGCCTATAGCCAAAAACTGGCAGCAACAGGAAAGGGCATATTCTCCAAAGGAGAAGGCTGGCAGGACAAGACAGCATCAAGGCCAAAGCCAAGCTGGAAATTCAGATCCCATGAAGGAAAACTGAGAATGAACCGATTCATTCATCCCAGGCCCAAATTACAGAGCTGTGTGTTGGTTTGTCCCAGGCACGCTGGATACAAAGGTCCAAGCCTACAAGACTAATTTCAGAGACCACCTGATGGTGGCCGTGAGCAGCGCTGAGGCTCTATTTGCATCTCCAGCCAAGGGTGGGAAGGGCTGGTAGACCAAAATGCACATGGGCTTTGGAGCTAGACAGAGTGGGTTCAAATCCTAGCTCTGTCACAAGCCAGCCACATAACGTTGGGCACAGGTGTGTTTATGTGCATGTAGTTCAATTATCCAGACAATTTCTCATGCCATTTCTGCTTCGAACTAACTTTCTAATCCGGGTAACTCATTTTTACCTCTCTGATTTCAGTTTCCTTAACATTTGAAGGACTGGGACTAAATGATACACATGAACCCTCCTAGCTAGAACATTTTTTTTTAAATTCTAATGCCCTTAAATCCTTACAGAAAAGTGGTATAGCACAGACAGAAGTTCTGGTCTGCCTCTGTAACACGAGCTTTTTAAACTGGACCCAAGATTTCACCCCTGTGTCCTCAAGATTTTGGATCTAGGTATTAGATAGAAGACCTGCATTTGGGGGCCATAGGTACAATTACATAAGAAAATCTATGTAAAAACAAACTAACAAACAGGTTCTTTCTTGGCCCATAAAAGGTGCTGAATGTTTTTTTGTTTTTTGGGGGTTTTTTTAGATAAAGTCTGTGAGTTCTCTTATTGTAGTAAAATAAAGCCTTTACAACCCACAGTGGAGTAAAGGAATATTGGCACTAACTTTAAATGGTCCCAGATAGCTTAAATTGTCAAGATTTTTTATCTGATTTTTATAGTTTCATTTGTTTCCCCTAGAGCATTCAGCTATTACTTCTTAATACCTTGGTGTGTTTAGTCAGAGTATGCCCTCTGCTCTTTATTGTTGCTTCGCTCCACGATGGCCTTGGAAGAAGAAAATCAAGTTTGTAGAGTCGTATGTATCCTAAGAATCAATATACCCCGATTCTCCTGTGAATAAAACGTTGGGCTGTGTGTTGACTTCATAAAAATTATTTTGTCACTACATTCTACCCAACAACAAAAGTCCAAAACCTGGAAACCATGCTAGATCTCTTCAACCCCTTCCCTTACATGCCATGCCAACCTTTCGCATGTTCTGCAATCACCTGCCTTCTCCCCACTTCACACCCTGAACAAGCCACCATTGTCACTTCCACCCTGACCCAGTTTGTTGACCCCTTGGTTTTTATCCCAGGCAGCAAAGAATGACAAGAGTCAATGATCCTCCTGGATTCCTTAGAACTCAGCCCAATGCCCTATAAACGACCAGGCCAGCAACATGGTAGACTGTTTCTTTGGGAAGCCATCTTTATAGTTTGTTTTCCTGTTATAGACATGTGTTGCTAAGAGATCTTTGGCTTGGCAAGACCCACTAAATATTTGCTAGAAAATCCTGGCTTTGTTTCTCTGACCACTATTATCAAAACCTCTCAGCCATCCTCAGAGGCTCTATTACCATCACCACAAAAGGAAACTATTCTACTTTTACACATTCTTGCAAACCCCACGGGGGCCCGTGAAGTATTCTGAAAGAAGAGTACAGTCTAGCAAGTTAAGTACCATGCTTGGGTTTAGGCTCTCCAGTCTTTATGCAAAGTTTGCTTCTCTGCCATTCAGACCACACACAAGGCAGTTCAGTTACCTTTAAGAAGCCTAGTTGTAAAAATGCATCCAAAGAAAATCAGCGAACTGATCTTCATCAGAAACAATATCACATAAGCAACATTTAGGTAAACTACATTAAACTCAGAGTGGATTTCCTGTGGGGAAGTTAAGGCATGTAAAAGGGGGATTCGATTTTCTCTGTGGGGCACCCCAAGGTAAGACTGCATAAAATGTTTGAAGTTCACAGGGCAACGATCAGAGCACAGAGAAAAACAAATCCATCCAGTTACGTACAACGGAATGGTCATGCCCTGAAATGGAATGTCAATCACAGAGAAAGTTCAAGTACAAGTTAGATGAGCCACACGTCTGGTAGGCTCTAAGAAGGGTTCATGAGCTGAGACTTTTAAGGCTTTAACTGTGATCTGCTGTGCGTCCATTGTAGTCTTGTGTCTTTTGAAATTGGTGTGCTGTGACCTGTGGATTTCTGATCAGTACAATAACACTATGGTTTCCAAGTCCCTTTCAGCCAAAATTGTTTGAGTGATCCAAATAATCTATGATGTGCCTTGAGCTCTATGATGAAAGATGCAATATAAAAAAAAGGGTAATTTTAGTCATAATAAATAATGGTAATGATGATGAATGGCAGTGTCACGGAGAAGGAGCTGGCCTGCCATTAGGGAGTCCAAAACAACCAGCTGTGAGCTGAAAATGACTGTGTCCAGGCCAGGAGGATGCTCCGTGACTGAGACCACATTAACCTTTCAACCAAAGACCCGGACCAAGCCCCTGATATCTAGGTGTGACCAGTTGTAATGGAAAAAACTACAATATTTATCCTTGAGCCTGAATTTGCCATGGGCTTAAGAGACATTTTCCTAGACAGGTCAATAGGGAGCATGTTCCCTTACTCTTCCAACAGAAGAGAAAACTGAGTCGGTCGGGGGAAGAGCCAGATTACACACAGGAATTATGACTCTAAACCTAGTATGCTTTCCATTCTCTACCAGTCCCCGGACAATTCAATGGAAAGTGAGACTTCAGGAAAGAGCCAACTTGGATGAGAACATGCTGAAACGGGATCCTGTCCCTCAAGATGGTTGCAGAGCTGTTTTCCATCCATTTAGGCTGACAGAGCTTGCTAGTGAAATCCTGGGCACCTCAAGCAGGCAGGAGTCACTCGTTAATGTCCTAGACCTGATCTCCAGAGCCAACAGCACACGGCGGGGGCCCACCGAGTTCCACTGGACCAGGAGGGGAGGGAACACCGCTCTAGAGCCTTGTCCAACTGGACGTCTCAGAGGGCTAATATGCTGCCAGAGGCTTAATTAATGCTCCTGACTGAGGGGCCTGGCCTCCTACTCCTCCCATGTGCTTGAAGACCAACCAGTGGCCACTGGCAAAGACAAAGGACCCTACTCTCTGCCCATCAAGAACCTCTACCAAAAACGAGGAGACTTGCTAGAACACACGAATCCTTTACTTCTTTGCCTTTTTTATTCTTTTGCTGTATATACTGAAATTTTATTTTTAAAGTCTATAGCTTTGACTTGCTTGCGTGTTGGCATAGTTTAGCATATTTTATCATTTGGAATGTACCCGGCTCCTCTTTTTCTATTTTATCATGATACTTTACATTTCTAAATTTTTTTACTGATCAGGATTCTTTTTTGTGCTTATCCTTTGAAGCTAGTCTATTCTCAGCTGTTTGACGTGTATTTCGTTTTTTTCCTTAAAGAAATTAATTACTATTTTATCTTTCTTAAAAGGGTCTCTTGTTCAGTTGAAGCCATTTTAAATTTTATCTCTTTGAAATTTTTGTTTTATTTTTAATATTTTTTAAATTCTTTCCCATGAATAGCCTCTGAAATTATTTTTCTTTCATTTTTTAATGCATCTTACGTTCTATTTTGATACCACGTCTATTCCCCTAGTGAGAAGACTCCTCGAGGACCACAGGAAGAGGCTCGAGTCTCTTTCCACAGGGTTTGAGAATTTGTGAAAGTTAATCCTACCAGCTCCATCCACCAGCCACGTCACCTCAGGGACCTGCTCTGGTTCTGCGCTTCAGCTCACAGCATCTAAAAATGCTGACTTCTTCCAACAGACCTCCTCAGACACTGGACTTCCTCGTTCCCTTCCTGTGTTCTGAAGGTGTGTGGGAACGCAGTGGGGAGAAGCACCACCCCCCGCTTCCATCTCTCCCTCAACCAGCCCTGACCATCCAGCCATTCCATGCCAACCATCCCATTTGGATACGGTGACACCCTTCTTGGCACTGTATCCAGAACCCAATAAAATACAACTCAGAATAAAGAAGTCCCTGCAGTAAATATTAGTAAGGAAATAAAAGCACTGGTCTTAACTGTAAAGAAATCAGAATTTGAGCTCTGACTTTGTCACTAACCCACCATATGACCTGGGCAAATACTTGATTACCATGGACACTGATATTCTCCTCTAAAAAAAGAAAAAGACTATTACACCAGATTATTTCTAAGGACCCCTCTGGAGTTAAATGGCCTATGAATTTATGCCCTTGAATTCAAAGCAAAACAAAACAAAACAAAGCAATACAGAAACAAAAACCTGACATGACCTCAGGGTGTTTGGAGAGCACGTTGTTATTTGTACCCGTTAACAGAAGCCCGAAAGAATTTATTCCTGCCACAGTACCAAGGTCTCTTCAGCCACACCCACTGAGCGACACAATGCATGCCAATGGTGACATAAATGAGGACCCAGTTGAGCTGGGCACCTGACATACTTGCCATTGATGACACCGTCTGGATTGAGCATGGGAATGATCTTGAAAATGAAGTTTTCCCTTAGGAGTCTAGCCACAGGGTCACTGCTGACCAGGAACTCCAGGGCCCCCTTCATCACCCAGCTGGCATTGCTCTCTCCCGGGTGCACTCGGGCAGTGATCACCTGGTATGGACGCTGCCCTGCGGAGAGAGGAACGGGAGAAACTTAAACCTAAGTTCACTTTCCATTTCCAACAAGATCATCTCCCAGGAGCCAGAATGACTCCTGACCGGCATGAAGTCCAAAATAGGCTGACCATTTCCCATACATATCTGATCTACACCGATCCATTTTCCATTTGCCTCTATAGTCTGCAAGACTATAGAAAGTATAAAGTGAAAGCTCAAGACTTTATCAAAAACATAAGTACTTAGCAGCATGAAAAGAAGCCAAGAAGCCAATTTTATCAAGACTACCAAAGGAACAATTAACTCTCCAGAATCCAATAGCATGATGCTGCATGTCACAGATCTGAAATTGAATCTTATCTTCATACTTAGCAGCTGTAAGATCTTAAGTGAGTAATTTGATTTCTGCAAGGTTAGTATCTCATCTATAAAATAGGGACAATGATACTGATCTTGTGTGGGTGTTATAGAAACAAAAAGATGTCAATAAGGCACTCGGCAAATTGCTTGGCATTCACTACAGGTTAGTTTCTCCCATCTCAATTATGAGGTCTGTGGGTAAAATGGCCCTTCTCATTCCCCAGTAGAAATGGGATTCAAGGGCAGAACTTGTGCTGGGAACTTTATGTCTGTAGGACACTGAACTCAAACATTGAAAAAGATTTGACAACAGTGAAGCACCTGGCATCTCAAATCATGCAAAAAGAATCAGGAAAACACTCTTTGCCCAATCACAGCGAGCATACCAATCTGAAGAGACCTTATGGAGACAGCATAGACAAAAAGCCCAAAGATGGGCTTGTCTTTCTTTCTTGTTGATAGAAAACATCTGGACCATTGTAATGTTGAGATGTATTCTAAGACCACATCCTGGCTCAGGTGAAAAGTGTGTTTTGATTGATTAATAGTGTCTGTCCCCCATACACTTGGGGAAGGAGGGGGGGATGATGTGGCATCATACCAGAAGTTAACCACATCTGCTCTAACTCCTTGTCTGATTGTGTGTGTGTGTGTGTGTGTGTGTTTTCTGACTCTCTTTTCCTTTTGTATTCTCTCACCCAATATCTTACGGCTCCTAAACCCATCTGACGGACAAGAACTAAGCATTTGCCAAATATAAATACGCCAGCCATCAAGCAGCCTGAAAGTTAAACTAGTCATTTCTTGGGGCACCTGGGTGGCTCAGTGGGTTACAACCTCTGCCTTTGGCTCAGGTCATGATCCCAGGGTCCTGGGATTGAGCCCTGAATTGGGCTCTCTGCTTGACAGGGAACCTGCTTCTCCCCCGCTCTCTCTCTGCCTGTCTCTCTGCCTACTTGTGATTTCTGTCAAATAAATAAATAAAATCTTTTTTAAAAATAATTAAATAAAATAAACTAGTCATTTCTTTCCACTCACTCAAATCACTGTGAGCTAAATATGTCTTTTCTTCCCTTAAACAGTAGCCTTTTTGAGGAAATAAACTGTGTCTCTAATTCCGTGCAAAAAAAAAAAAAATTGAACAACTTTCAATAACAGAGCTAAAGAACAGGTAACAGTGAATTACTATTATCATCCATTTAGGCAAAAAAACACTATCTGTCGACAACCTCTGAGATCTCAGTTTGAGGAGCAGAGATGGGTACATTTTTACTGACTATGGTGGGAGCAGGTCACGTCAGCCCCTTATAGATCATTTATATATTGGAGACAATATTTGGTTGTTTTTCCCTAAGCAGGTGTCTTGAGCATGTTACAGGAACTACAGAAGCCTTGGGATATAAAAGCTGAATAAATTATAGTCCTTGTTCTGTAAGAGGCCATATAGTGACAAACACACAAGCAAATCACCACAAGTGAGTTAACGGAAGTGTATACAAAGTACCAAAGTCTGACTTACATAAGATCACGTTTGAAGTCATCCTGATAACATTGTTACTTTGGGGTTTTGGTGGTTTTAAGATGTTACTTATTTATGTAAGAGAGAGCACAAGCCTGGGAAGAGATAGAGGGACAAGGAGACTCCTCATTGAGCAGAGAGCCTGATGCGAGGCTTGATCCCAGGACCCTGAGATCATGACCTGACCCAAATTCAGATGCTTAACTGACTGAGCCACCCAAGTGCTCCTAATAATGTTACTTTGAACGGCATCCAGTCTCGTGTGCTTTCTGGATTTGGGAGGAAAAAGTGAGAGCCTTCATGAGAATATTTGATATGCATGTCCCAGCAAGGAAGAGAGTTCAGAGCCACTAGTTTAAGTAGAGAGTCCAGGAGCACCTAGGTGGCTCAGTTGGTTAAGTGTCCAACTCTTCGTTTCAATTCAGGTCATGATCTCAGGACATGAGATCAAGCCGAGATGGTCTCGGCACGGAGTCTACCTGAGATCCTCTCTCTTCCTCAGCCCCTCCCCCAACTCACAGGTGTGTGCTCGCTCGCTCTCTTTGTCTCTCTCAAATAAATAGATAAATAAAATCTTTAAAAGAAAATAAAAAGAAGGTTGGGTGCCTGGGTGGCTCAGTGGGTCAAAGCCTCTGCCTTCAGCTCAGGTCATGATCTCAGGGTCCTGGGATCGAGCCCCACATAGGGCTCTCTGCTCAGCAGGAAGCCTGCTTCCTCCTCTCTCTCTGTCTACTTGCAATCTCTTTCTGTCAAATAAATAAATAAAATCTTAAAAAAAAAAAAAAAGAAGAAGGAGAGAGTTCATGATGGTTTTTCAGCAGGAGAAAGACATGTGAAAGGCTACGTTTCATAAAATCATTTTGACATTATTGCAGGTCATGAATTTGCTGAATCAGAGACAGTATGGCCTGTTGAGTAAAGAATGACTTTTGGAGCCATAATTCCAGAGGTCACATTCCAGCCCCACCATTTTCTACAGAACGAGTCACGGAAGTTTCTGATGAAATCGAGTATTAGATTGGTCATCCTGCAGGTAAGACTAATGATTTGCTAACTGAAACTTACTAAATAAGAATATTGAGGAGGAAGAGAGATATACAGTTAGCTAGCTGAGCAGAGCAGAACCTAACTGAAGGCCAACGTGCCCCCTCCATCATTTGCTCACAATCACATCTCACTCTCTCCAAAGCAAGTCATATTGGCACTCCGATAAAAAAGCTTGTTGAGAAAGAGGCTTGATGAATTCATACCCAATCAGCAGACTATTTTCAGTTCTATAATTCCATACCACTCTCTTTGTGGTCTTTGAACCAAGTTCATTTACAGCATATGGAACAACAATGGTAAGTACTCCCAGCCCAGCAAGAAGAAATAAAAAATAGCTTAAGCTCTTGTAAATTTCTAATACCAACTGAACACCCTCATTGTCTGGGCCACTTGGCTCCCACTGCCTGTTACCCAGTACAATTCAATGCATCAGTCCATAAAGTGAATGCAGCCCTTGCAAAGAGATGCCCACAGTGTGCCTTTCCTTCCAAGAATCAGGTTAATAACGTGCTGTATTGTAATATACCACAAGACCTAGCAGACTGCTCTGAGCATCATAATGAAGCAAACGGGGAAAACTGTGGGTTCTCATGAAGACATAAGCAGCATGTTAGCCATTTCCAGTTGATTTTCCTCTCTTTCTTCTGTGATTTAAGACAACTTTACAGTTGTACTGGTGAGTTAAACTTATGAGACCATTCAGTTGCGGCAGCAAATGGGTGTTCTAGAGAAGATACAACAGCTGCAAATAGTATGCGACACACATACATGTGTTTTTTTCTTGTTATTGACAATTTCAGGTTTAAAAACTCATTTCTGCTTAGGGTAGGGCAAAGAGGATCAGGTATCTGCATTTTTTTTTTCTCTGCAATTTATAAAATCTATTCCAGAGGTCACCAAAATGTATGGGGGAGTCATGGTTTGGCAATATGCTAATTCTTAAAGCTCAGTATTGAATTTATGTCAGTGGTAATAACATCTGTAAAAAGAGGTTAGAAACAAGGAGGGAATTATATAATGCCTAAGAGATAGCAGGCTCACGGCCAGTGAAAAACTGAGTCAGAATTGAAGACATATGTGATGATACACGTGTGTACCCAACTCCATAAACATCCATCCAGTTTTTCCTTTTTTCTTTCAACAATAAATATTAAATTCCTACTGGCACTCTGGAAGATTGTGGAGATTGGAGGGGAAATAGCGGTTTCTGCCCTCAGGGAACTAATAATAGTCTGGTGGGAAAGACAGGAACACAGATAATTATGATCCAGTGGGATCAGGGATATTTGTCAAGACATTTTCAAAGCATCGTGGATTGCTCATTACAACATTATTTATAAAGAAGTGAGCAACTGGAAATGACTTAAATGTGCACCCGTAAAAACTAGCTAAGGGAAGGATTCATAAACAGAGTGTGAGGCAAGTGTTAAAATGGCACCTGGATATTTCTGTTGACACTAGAAGATATCTGTGACACTATGATGAGTGACAAAATACAGGCAAGAGTGCTACATCATAGTGGATCCCATTTTTATGTAGCTGTCACATTCTCTTAAAGGTATCTAACTATACATAGGACACATTGTGGGTGGAGGTCATTTAAGTAATTTTTATGTCCTCTATATCCCTATCTAGAATGTTCTCCTCTTCAGAAAATAATAAGCAAATGTCAATTTTCCCAAAGGCAAAATATTTTCAAATAGTAAACCGCAGAGGAGAAAGAGGAAAGAAATGGATTTTCACAGAAGAGGTAACATTGGATCTGGTTTGTCCAGATTGAGTGGGAGTTTTCCAGATGAAGTAAAGAAAGGAAGAAGGTGACCAAAAAAGGCTAAGTAGATGCATTTGCAAAATAACAACATCATAGAGCATCTAACGCCTGAAGAAGAGCAAAGTGATTTGATGTGGCTGCAGTCCTAAGCTATACGGAAGGTAAAATGGGAGTAAAGCCACGAAGTGGTTTGCACCTGTGTCTGCAGACCTTTGGAACCAATGCTAAGGAGACTGGAAACCATCTTACAAGTTGTGAAGGCCCCACGGAAAATCCTCATGCAGGGGTATGACCAAACAGCAAGTCTCACTGGAG